GGGTGTTTGCTTGCGGCGTCGAGGTCACGGTGGGCGGGCGGTGTCGCGGTCACCCCCGGGCGGCCGAAGGGGGGTATGTATGTCTGTGAGCTGGGCCTGCTGGAATGGACGCACTTCTGCTGGCTGCACTGGCCGACTGGTCGGGTTCACGCCCCTTCCTTCTGCTCCAGCGTCAGTCGCAGCAGGCGCACACGGCGAGCTAAGCCAACCAGCGGCGGCAAAACCATGCGATCTGCGATTCGGGCGAGGGCGAGGTGAAGAAATGAGCAATGTGGTGGTCCAGGTGGAGCGGCGGCGCCTGAGAGGTCTCCGTCGACGACCACTTCTGCGGCGGGATTGGACAATTGCTCCCACTCAGCGCGCTTCTGCTTGAGCTCAGAACAACGCGGCACGGGTACTCGAAATACGCCCGACGGCTTCACCAAGAGCTCTGGACACACATTCACTTCCGACAATGTGATTGCAATCAGGTGAAGCTGGCAGCGGAATGGTTGACTGTGCGATCACTGCGCGCGAACGCATCCGCACCCCGCTTGCTCACCTGTCGCCCAGAGGCACCGCTACAACTGCAGGCCCTAGGGCGACGAGTCAAAACTCAACAAGCCGCTTTTATGATTCGCTATCAGTCTCCGCCAGCCCAGAAATAAGCAGCGACGAAGCTATCACAGGGCATTCAGCAGTCGACTGGGCAGTAATGCAAGCTCTCTTTCTCTACCATCAAGCAGGAGTGCCCGGCGTAATTCTCAAAAAGGCAAGCCCACTCGAATACCATGCCCAATGGTGATCTCCTGTAGGTCAAGCCACCCCAGCAATAACAGTCAACATTACCTCTTCTGTCCCGACGCGTCGCGGGGACAGCGTCTGATCAAGAGCCTTGTTTCCCACCCACATGCTGGACACGCGCGTGGTTGTTTGCATGCACAACACGAATCAATCTCCCGGCATGCACGTAAACCGAGAATCCTGTATAATGAGCTGCTGCTATACGACAATCAAGTGTGAGCATCGAGCAAGGAAAGGCGACAGGCCCAGAGCCATCGACCAACTGTACGGGAAACTTTGCAAAGAGCAATCCCGGAGCAACGTGAGTTGAAGACCCTGAACTTCCTGGGTAGTGCGGAGATGTGATTGAGGAGGGAGGTTCTTGTGCAGCAGGCGTTTGCGAAGTATCCATGTTTGATGAGCGCCTCATCGTGACGGCAAAGTATGAATTGGTTGAAGCGGCCGACGGGGCATGTCGGAGCCCAGACAATCTCTCTCTCTCTCAACGCCGCGACCATTCGATGGAGGGCGTCCGTGACATCCAACTGGCGGGGTGTCGCATTTCGAACAGATGCAAATCCGTTTGGGGAGCACGGCACATTTTCGACTTCGGGCTCGTGAGTCGCGCCGCGGCGGAAGCTAAGAAGCGGGTGGAAGGGGAACTGCCACCGACCCGACCCCCATGTCGGCACACTACTATGGAGATGGCTGGCAAGTGCCAAACAAGCCCTGAACGATCGAAGTTCTTTTGTCCCGTGTGGTGGGATCCTGGTAACAATGCGCAAAAGGCGAAGCGAGACGACAAATGAAAATTGAGTATGATGAATCAAATTTTCGCCCGAGAAAGGGGAGATGAAGCCCCGCGCTGCCGCGAAGGTGGGCTGGAGGGGTGAGTGTCGTGAAGAGTGAGGCTGATGACATGCTCGGATGTTCCAGCCTCATCTCGTCGAACGTGTGCAAAGCAAGAAGGGCGCTGATACATGTAATGTACTGGCAGATTGACGACAGACTTACGACACTTATTACCTGGTCATCTCAGATGTCGCTTCTGTCAACCAGCGACAATGGCATTTGTCAACGAGAAGAGTGTTGTCGGTCACGTCGAATCAGGGGTCCGGGTTACGAGTAGCCGAGATTCGATCGATCAAGGAAGGACACCCCATATTGCCTTGTGTTGCACTCGGTGTCTGGCAATGATGGGGATGCATCGGAGTGGCAAATGGGCAGTTTTCTGAACATTGTTAACTCTCTCGAAGGGATGCAGAGTTGTCGACAACAACAGACAATTCCATTATGGTTGCCGCACTGGGCCAAGCTAAACCGGAACACCGGTCAGCTTGCGACCGCGGCAGAGGCCGCCTGCTTGCAATGAGGGGCCATCTTCCCCGAAGCACTAGCAGCAGACGGTGGAACCAGGCTGAAGGCTCCCGGTAACAATGGAGACGATCCCGCGGCAGTCAATTGGGATTCCACCCGTCTCGCCAAATGCGCATCGAATATCCAAACCAGCAAATGATGCAGCGAGCATGCAGAATCAGCAGTGATACAGTGGCTGATGTTTAGACCACGATGACGGATGATGGGCGTACTGCGTATCTGCATATAGCAGATGAAGACGCAGACTCCGGGAACGTGTTTTCAGCCACGCATCGATGGATCGCTGAAAACGACCAAAACGGCGTCCCGGCGATTCTGGTTGGAAAAGGAGGGGCAGCGACGCGGCTCCGCATGACGGTGGGTGGTGCGACGCGCATTTGTTCACGAGTCGGGAGCGGGACTGAATTCGATGAGGAGGGTCGGCCGCACCGCTTGGCTGACTCGAATAGAGATGAGGCTCTGGAGTCGGTGTGAGGCGTAGAGACAGGCGACAGGAAACCACTGCAGCGAAGTGGAGGATGTGGAAGCGGTCAAGCAAGCGGCGCAGCAGGTGAGGCGCGAGCAGCTCTTCCATTGTTCTACAGCACTTGGCCAGCTCACACCTGCTCTGCCACAAGCGCCTCGTGTGCGATGGAAACCGATCACGCGACTCTTGCAGGATTCTGAGGAAGGGCCCGGCGGCGATGAACGAGTATAGTAGATGGCCGTTCGTCCCCAGCTTGCCACGTTGTCGTCGTCAAGGGCGGGCAGCGACGAGCTAGCTAGGTAGAGACAGAGAGCGACGTGTGGTGCTTCTGCAGCTTATAGAATAGGAGCGTGCACCGCGCGTGTGCTGGTTGTGATGCTGAAAGGCGTGCCGGCGGCGGGGCCTCGCCAGCAACGTGCCGAGATCTCGTCTCTCAAGCGTGCGTTCTCCTTTGCCCGCTCCTCACACCCACCAGCCTCCTCCCTCCATCATCAACCCCTCCTTGTCTTGCCGACCTAGCGACAGCAAGTCATCCATCACCGCCATCACCGCCATCACTGCCATCACCACCGCAGTCGAGTAGTGCTTTGCATTGGCGAAGCCTACCGCCCTGAACGCCTGCCACATGCAACAAACACCCATCCATCGCCCTCGACAAATACCACAACCCACCAAGATTTAAACCACACCGAGTCGCTGGCCGCGGAGGGCGCATTCTTCAACACTGCCATCGCCATCCAGCCCCACGCTCCCCCAGCGACAACCATGTCGGCCGTAGCAGGCGTACTGCCCACCGCCTCCGCCCCGACCAACGCCGGGCGCAAGCCATCGACGTCTACGCCCACCGATGTCAAGGAAAAAGAGAAGCGCTACAAATGTCAATTCTGCAATCGCGCCTTTTCGCGCTCAGAGCATCGGTCGCGACATGAGAGGTCCCGTAAGTACACTTTTTGTCGCGTGGTGGGGCAGTCGCAACAGCTGCACGCGACGAGCACTGGCGGGGTCGCGCACCAGGACAGAGCATCCCAAACTAACACGAAGCCAAATCACAGACACCAAAGAGCGACCCTTCAAGTGCATGAAATGCCGCAGCACCTTCGTCCGCCGCGACCTACTCCTCCGCCACGACCGCACCGTCCACGCCAAAGATGGCGGTGTGCCACTCCAGAGCGAAGGAAACAAGCGCAAGAACAAGACTGCATCGCAGCAAAATGACGATGCGAACAAGAACACCGACATGGATGCTACCGACTTCGATCAGTTCACCGATAGCGCCAATGCCCTCGATGTCGAGCAGGCCGCCATGCTGATGACCAACTTCCAGCAAAAGGCCGCCATGTCGGGTCAAGACATCAGTTCCATCACCACAGAGCCACTCATCTCATCGCATGGGCTGCCAACGATGATGGACACCAGCGCGCCTCCCTACCCAGGCTCCATGACGCTGCCACAGATGCAAGGCTGGGATCAAATGCTGCCACAAACCATCAGCACTTCGCAGTTGCCCAAAGCCGCGTCTTCGATCTCATCAGGCGGTGAAGGCTCCCACGACATGCTGCCATTTCCCAATGCCGCCGCAACACTGGGTGCCTCGAACTCGTCACTGCCACCGCTCATGGAACGCACCGAAAGCCAACAAGATGGCCTGCCTTCTTTCAGTGCCTCATCCATGATCGGAGGCCTGTCGCCCAATGGTCCCTTGTCGCCGTTTCCCAACATGATGGGTCCAGTCTCCCCGGTCGACTATCGCAGGTCACCTGGCCCTGCGCAACAGTGCACCATGACAAAGGCTCCACAGGTAGCAGGCGAGGACCAGATGAATTTGCTTATCGAGAACATCCGCCGCTGCGACAGCGAAGATGCGCTTGTGCATACCTTCCGCCTTCCCCAGATGCCCGTGCTCAACCGCTACCTGTCGACCTACTTCAACTTCTTCCATCATCACCTGCCATTCCTCCACCCAGCATCATTCAACCCAGCCACTGTGCCGGCACCATTATTGCTTGCAGTGCTATCCATTGGTGCGCTCTACACTTTCGAGCAGGATCAGGCATACATGCTTCACATCGGCTCGAAAGTGCTTGTGCAGCAATTCTTGCAGAAGAAGGATGACTTCAGCTCACGGAAATGCCCTCTCTGGATGATGCAAGCGTCACTCCTGAACATGAGCTTCGCTAGTTGGAGTGGAGATCCAAAAGGTCTTGAATGGGCATGCTCGATCAAGTCGCTTTTGGCGAACATGGTCGCTGGAAACAGGTACGAGTTGCAAAAGCGCAGCGAGGCACGTGAAGGCCGACAGCCTACCCACGACGAGTGGATCGAGGACGAAGGCTGCCGGCGGACTTACTATGCGGTCTACATCTTCTTTGGCTTGTTGACGCTGACCTATAACCACACGCCTGCGATCAGCTTCAACGAGTTCGACACCCTGGAGTTGCCTTCGTCAGAGACTCTGTGGAACCTGGACCCAGCGGACAATGACAGCTGGATTGAGAGCTTGACGGCATCGACCATCATCACGTTTCGAGAAGCTCACGACGCTCTGTTCCAAGGCGAGACTGCCCGATACAGCGCATTCGCTACTCGTGTGATGATTAACGCATTGTTCCTCGAAGTGTGGTACCACAAGCGTAGCCCGGAAGCTCTCCAGGATGTTGTCACTGAGTACAAGCTGCGACTTGCTCTGGAGACTTGGGAGAAGTCGCTTGAACAGTGCGAACCTGAAACAGTGGTCGTGCAGCTCAGCGCTCCTCACAAGGGCCATCCTCTCATCTTCAACGCAATGGCGATGTATCGCAACACGCGGACCAGGCTCTTGGTCGATCTGAAGGCCATCCAGGAGGCACTTCGCTACCACGACTCATACGAAGTAGCAGCGGCGATGACACACGCGCGAGAGAAGGTCAAGCGAAGCCAGGAGATGCTTACTGTAATCCAGTCGTGCTACGATTGCATCGAGGTCGCGGCATTGCAAGGCATCCGCTGGGTAGCGCGCACATCAGCGACAAATTGGAGCATCGAGCACCCGCTTTGCGGACTCGACTTGATCGTCATCCTCAGTCTATGGCTCTGGCGTGTCGAACACGAGGAAGAGCCTGCGACCGAGGACGAGAAGGCGATGTACCAGAAGTTGCGCTCACTGTTCGACGACGACACAGTTGATGGCTTTGGCCAAAAATTGAGCTCCACGGTGGCTCGACTATGGGGTAGCATGATCGACGAAGTGGTTGTCTGGGGGTGAGTCTCAGGTTGCTTATTGCGTGACCACAAGCTAATTTGTTTCCAGCATCACAAAGCTCATGGGCGAATCCTTCAAATTGCACAGCCAGGCGCTCATCGGATACGAAGACGCCGTCATGGCTGAGCAGCAAAACGGCGGCAGCATCACACCAACGGCTGTGATTGCGCCACACGCGACAGAAGTCACGGCCTACTAATACATACACGAATTTGACGAATGCGTTTTTTGATTCGGGACGGCACTAATAGAACGATACCACGCGCTCCATGCGGCGGCCTATTGTTCGGACTTTGTATTTTCTGCTCAAGTCCCACCGGCGTTCACGGGAAAGGATTACTCTGTAACAGCACACACCTCATCAGCAACCAGGCAGCAAGCAACCGAGCCAGTTCGAGTTCTTTCTTCCGCGACGCGAGAGCATACAGAATGGGAACAGGGCGGACACTGCTTACGCTTTTATTTCTTCTGGGGAAGGTACTCTGGACCTCACACACAACACAAACCATCTTAATAATTGTTGGACCTTTTCTTTGCCCGGCATCACCACCTGGCGGAGGTTCGAAAATGCAATGACACGGCTGGTCCGTGTGAAGAGGCTGGATTCCCGAAACACCTTTGGAGAGCGGCAGCACTTGCACAGTGACCGCCAACTCTCCAACTTTTCTCTCCGAGCGCTGCGCCTTTTTTCATTGGATCGAAATCCATCAGATACCATGTTCGTTTATGCAGCATTGGGGATTCTTTGTTATTTCTGTTTTGCTTTGAGAGATGTGGAGTGTCTGTCGATGATGAATGTCATCTTCAATGCGCTTCCACAGTGGCGCATACTGGGCGAATAGAAGGAGCATAGCGTGGAGAAGAGTTCTTTTTTGCTCATTCTTTGCTGGCTATTTTGTTTGAAGGGTTGTACTATATGTGTGGGTATAACAATTCAGACACAAACTTTGTTCTCGACTCTGATGAGCTTTCTTCATTGCTGATGGTCACCGTAGGAAGGGGAGGAGATGTTGAGGTCTGCATATGAAGTAATGGGGGCTGGGTGCTGGCGGAGGTGTGAAAACGAGTAATGTGAATAGAGTTTCGGGAAATCTCACCTCCACTCGCGCCTGCTGTCTCGACTTCATGTTCTTTTGCTCAACATTCTTCATATATCTATTTTGTCATGAAGTCACCACATTTCCATCGCCATTCGACTTCTCCACGGCTCAACGCTCATCTATCCCACCTGATCCCGCCATAACAAGGCCGAAGATGCCCTATTCCTTGAAACAGTACAATATCCCATCTTTGAAGACCCTCAAGCTCCTCCTCATTCCACACCCGCAAGCTTCGTACGCATATACTCTGGACTCATTTCTGCCGGAAATGTCGGCCTTGTATCATTGACGTTTCGGGTACTGGTGATGCTGAGTGGTTTATTCTGGGCCTCCTCCTCCTCGACTGTGATGTCTCGTGTAATTTCCGTCAATTCGGTCACTTCGATCACGGGCTGCACGCCAACTGTGTGGATCAAAGTTTGTAGCTCGATGACGAAGGCTGTTGCGAATGGTGAGGAGGTTGAAGATGGGGTTGTTGCTAAGAGGTGGAGGTGGATGTTAGCACATTTGCTGAAAGTTGAGTCGTACATCTTCTCTTGTTGTCTTGTCCTGCGGCTTTCATTTCACTCGCCTCCTGCATCCTTCAACTCAACGACATCTACCACCGCCTGTCTTGTTGCCGTCGGCGCAGGCGTCGCTTCTGCTTCAGCGCGTTTATCTTCTTTATGCAGAGTTCCATATCCTATCGCTCCACTTTTGGGTGCGGGCCATTGATCTGGCACAGAGGCGAAGGTCTGAGTGAAGACGACGGGAACGTAGGTTGGTGAGGTTCCGATTGTGGTTTCCATCCAGATTGTTGTTATGGAAGGGGCTTGGGAGATTGCGGGCTCGGCGGCGGGTTGTTGGATTATTGCTCGTGGTCTGTGAGAAAGAGGGGAGAATATTAGTCGGCGATGGAGGATGATAGGATATTCAAGGTGAGGACGCACTCGAAGTCGTTGGTGTTGGGATCTTCGGCTCTACTGAGAGCTGCTAAAGCAAAGATGCTCAAGCAAGATGAGAATTGTGAGGTACGCATTGTTATGTTTGGTTGTTTTATGCTGACTGAGCTGGCAGAAATCGTATCTGTTCGATGGTTTGTTGTGGTGAAGAGACGCCGGAAGAAGTCGAAGCAAGAACCGTCCGACCTTTCGCGACTGGAATGAGGGAAAGAGCAGTGCGCCTTCTGCATCAACGGACATCACGCACACGCAAGTGCTAACGCACTCTTTCCTCTCAAAATGGAGAAGGCTCGAACGCGGCCTGTTGCACAGGGGTGGATCCGCTATCTCGCCTCCAATACGCTGGGATATCTGATTCTTTTTCAACTTCGCAGTCTATTACTACCTGCCGATTATGAACTGCAATTTCATCGAATAGGCATATTTACCAAACTATTCGTACTCCGTACTTCTTCGAATACAATCGTTGCAGGCTCCGAAGACCTTGGATCTGGCTAGGACTTCCACGAAATGTCAACCTCGGACGAATCTAGGAGCAAAGAGAACGATCGACAATCTATGAGATGCGGGCTACTGATATATGGATCTCGATCAAAGGATTCATTGGCATGTCGGCCTAAACAGGGATCAAGAAGGGCCGCATTTGACTACGCGTGACGCGTCAAGCTTTCTTTGACATGAGCTTGGCACTTGCTTCTTGCTTCGTCGCAGGAATGAGCACAACATTCTATGCATGTTTGGACTTTTCACAGCGTCGGCAATTATCTTCTTCGGACGTCGAGTGCTTCTCAATGACAGTCGAATGTGCTCTGCAATTGAGCTCTCGGGACGATGCCGTTTTCATCACCGATGATGATAGGATCCACATGGCTCGGCAGCAAGCAGAGCGTTGCGCTGCAACCGGTTCTGTGCGAGCTCAGGGCCATCCATCAAATCAAAGTACTCCAGACTCCGACCATGCTGATTTCCACGATGCTCGCAGGACTGGGACTTAGACTTTGGCGAAGCTTTCCAAGATATCAAATGCCAGAGCTTTCAGTCTCTTCGTGACTTTTCGTCTTCTCGAACTTCTCGGATGTGCAGAGAAGATGATTTAATATGAACTGTGCAGAGGCACAGTGTGCATCTGTTTGCGTACCAACCACGGACGCACGATGCCGTCGGCCCGGACATGTCACACGACATGGAGACAAACACGCCTGGAGTCCTCGACTTGGCAAGTGGTCGCGTGCTCTCTTACTGGCAATGGTAAAGCTGCAGAATTCGGCCACGTAGCAGACACTGTCAGTCCGTACCGCCATAGCAGATCCTTCCGACCTCGACAGATTGAGCAAGTGGGCGTGCTGCGTTTAAGAGGTCATCCGTACGTTGACATCGACATCTAATTTACAGACGCGATTCCCAATATGGCTTTTTGCAAAAGGCCACCCGATTCGCGCTGCATGTCTCAATGCCTTTTCGAAGCGTGCTTTATACTGCCTTCGATACACTGGTCGCTGTCGGCACTTGCTCGCACAAAACAATCGACCATCCGGGTTGGCGCCAACACAACTTTGCACACCCTTCCTGCTCGCGGCTAGCTTGTTTGCGTCCTTTGAAACTACGACCAGAGATCCCACTGCCCGGTCTTGATTCCGCATCTGATAGGCGAGAGCAGTTTTGCGTCATGCTGTCTGTGCGGCACTGGCTGGCAGACATGGGCGAACATTGTCGATGCCCTGGAAAAAGCGAGGCGAAATGTTTGTGAGTCTCGAGGAGCCTAGAGTTCGTTCTCGTTGCAAAAACCCCAGAACAATCAGATGCCTCGATTGAAGCAGAGATCCCAAATTCGGCGATGGAGTCTTCGATTGCCAGCAGTAAATCTTTCGACAGCGCCTCTTCAAGCCAATTAACAAAGTGCTCATTGGAGCAAGTCCTGAAGCGATCTGAAGAACTGTGTCGGCCGCAAGAAGATGCGGAGACTGCATTTCCGACGCAATCGAATACCAATCTGGCTAGCTGGGCCGGTGAAAATGATGAGGAGAACCCGAGGAATTTCAGAAGCATTACGAAAATGGCGATTGGCATCAACGTCAGTCTGATGAACCTGATAATCTCCTTCGCCGTTAGTGTTGTCAGCTCGATGCTAGGACAAATAGCAGACGACTTTAAGCGACACGATCTAGGGGAAATGCAGCTGGCAGTTACCGTCTACATTGCAGGCCTGGCATTCGGCAACATTGATGAGCCATCAACTCGGTATGCCAATTCGCTGATTACGAGCAGGTCCTGTTTTCTTTGGTCCAGCGTCCGAGTGCTATGGACGCAAGAGGCCTCTTGTGCTGGGCATGACTGGCTTCCTTATGTTCAATTATCTCGTAACAGCGATGGATGGCTTGAGAGCCGCGCTGATCTGCCGATTCTTATCGGCCGCTTGTGGGAGCGCGGCCTATGTTATACCTCCTGGAGTTTTCGTTGATCTGTACGGACCGGTCGGCAGAGCGATCGGGTACCAGATCTTTGCAACAGCGGCATTCATAGGTGGCTCACTTGGACCCGGGGTTGCAGCCTGTATGGTCTCGTCCGGTCTGGATTGGCGCTGGCCACTCTCCCTGGTGAGCATCACTGCTCTTCCAATGATCCTCGCATTCAGCATGACGCCAGAAACGCTAGAGCCGGCTCTACTCCAACAGAAGGCACGCAGATTACGCCTCGCCACAGGAGACTGGAGCTGGCATGCAAAGAGAGATGAGACTCCTGTGAATCTGTCGAACTATCTTGTCAAGCCGTGGAAGATGCTGGTTCAGGAACCAGTGCTTATCGTCGTGACAACGGCTTTCACGATGGACTACTTTATTCAAACCCTGACGTATTCGGAAATACCGATTGCCTTCGGCATGAGGCATTGGGACTATACCGCCGCGTATCTTTCGCTGTGCTTGACATTGCTCGGCTTCGCTTTGGGATGTGTAATTCTGGTTGTTGACACGAATCTGAGATTCCGTAAAAGACATGCCAAAGGTCTGCCAATTGCACCTGAGAGCAGGTTGCCACCGATTGTAAGCTCCTTACAGCCCAAAAGCGGTATTCACGCTAACACCTCTAGATCATCGGGATGGCGTTACTATCGGTCGGTCTACTCTGGTTCGCTTACGGTTGTTCTCAAGAGACGCACTGGCTCCTTCAGGCCGCAGCAGCGATTGTCTTCAGCTGCGGCATGTACATGGTTTGGGTTACCGCCACTGTCTATGTGCAGGACTTGTATGTCTCGCATTCGAATAGTGCGCTGGCAGCTTGTGCATTTGTGAGGTACTCGGTCGGTGCTGCTGCTCCAATGTTGTCTGGTATGCTTCGTGAGAAAGTTGGCCTGAGACGCGTAAGTTGGATACCATGTAAGGTCCAGAAACGAGCTGACGTTCTCGTGCCTAGACTATCACTTTCGTTGGAGCCGTATGTGCCTTTCTCGTACCTCTGCACATCTTGTTCTACTTCTTTGGAAAGAAGATCAGGAGGTTGAGTAGGTTTGCGTTACATGATGCTTACGTGGAGACACCGGGAGCTTTGTAATCCCAATAGGCTTGTCACGCCCTACGTCGAAGCGGGGTATTCTGACTTATGAGTCAGAGGACTACGACAGCACACCAGTATGGGCTCATTGTTGATACTGGATGATAAAGGCACAAGCCTAGGAAGTCGCCGAATGAGCATCCTTCGTACCTTCGGCTTTCGAGCTGAGCAGGGCTTTGGAGACGAGAAGGTCTGAAGTCTTGCGGTCTCTTCAGTTATACGCGAGCGCTTCAATTTCCGGGCGAGTATGGCAAGATTTGTTGCCATGTTCAAGCACTTCGGACGCGTCTTGCATGCTCGTCTTCACTTACCCTCTTTCTCGGCTATTTCTCGGCGCCGGCCAGATGCGGGGCCTGGGCCGCGACTCCACTCCTCTACATACATGCTTGAAGCTAAGGTTCATTGATTTGTAGGACAAACTTCAATGTAAGACGTACACTCTTACACAAACATTAGCATTCGCCAAAATGCCTCCCAAGGACATCACCCAAGAATCTGGACCCCTCCATCTCCTCCGACCATTCCTCCTACTCGGATACTCCGCCTATTACATCATCCCAACAATCCTCCAACTCCTCCTCTCCTTCCAAATCTCCGCCCTCCTCTCCTTCTCCAAATTCAAAGACCACTGGTTCCACAACTTCTGGGCCTTCTTCGGCCCTCGCTCCCGCGAATACGCCGCCCCCGCCGTCCTCCCCCTCCTCGAGCAAAGCGCCACAGGCGTATGTCTCGACATCGGCCCCGGAACAGGCCAATGGCTCTCCGTCTTCGGTCGCGCAAATAACCCGACAATCACCAAAATCTACGGCGTCGAACCGAATCATGAAATGCATAAAGCTCTCCGAGAAAGTGCGGTGAAAGCTGGTCTTGGCGACGTTTATGAAATTATTGGATGTGGGGCGCAGGAATTGAGTACGAAAGGTGGGATTCAAGCTAATTCGATTGATACGATTATTACGGTGCAGAGTTTGTGTTCGATTCCGACGCCGGAGACGATTATTAGGGAGTTGTATCCTTTGTTGAAACCTGGGGGGAAGTGGTTGATGTTTGAGCATGTGAAGACGAAGTATCAGGGTGATTTTGTGGCTTATTGGCAGAGTGTGTCTGATCTTTTCAGATTTGGGACTTTTGATCGCGGTACTGATTCTTCTACAGGAGCAATCAATGTTATCTGGCCACACTTCTTTGGCGGCTGCGATATTTGCCGGCCTACGGATGAGTGGGTGTTGCGGGCTGGCGAGTGGGAGCAAGTCGAACTTCGACCTGGAGCCGGCGAGGGACCATATGATACTGTTCCACATGTCATCGGAACTCTGACGAAGAAGAAATTTGAGAAGCTGAATTAGGTGCAAAAATTTACGAAAGATGTCGCAGGCTATGCCCGGCTCGAGGGACATGAAACGCTCACGAATCTTGAAAGCAAGTTTACGAACTCTCCGCCAAAAAGGTACCTGCAAATGGTCACAATATAGCATTTGGTCTCCATTCTCTGATGATACAAGCTCCTTACAACGGCAGTCGATGCCACTCTTCACTGTACTGGCACAATGTGCAGGTAGACACACCACTGTGGCTTCTCATCTGGAGCCGGGCAATTGAATATGTTGACACGATCGATAGTCTTCACCCCAAGAGCTTGTTTGTGCTGTCCCAACAGCCAAGCAACACCCTGCGCGTTCCCAGCACTCAACGTAGCTAGTGCTTGCAATTCTGTAATCGGGAATGAAACTCCAGGCCATTGCAATCCCATAGTCAGTAAAAAGCACAACGCAAAGTTCCACAGATTTGAAGATATGCTCACCTCTCCAATCTGCCTAATATCCTTCCCACCAGCCGCCATCTTCAAATGCTGCTGTACTTCCTCGACCTCCGAATTCCACCGAAACATATGTTCCAAATTCTTCAAGTTGCCCGTTTGTCGATCGCGGATAAGCTTCTTCCAGCTGAGAAACAACAAATCGCTAACGTGAGACAGTGGCGTTAATGTTCCGCCTTTCTCCAAAACGTAAGGATATTTCGTTGCCATGAATTCGGGATTATAGCTCTGCGAAGCCACAATCGCTCCAGCTGCTAGATTGATATCGGTCGTGTACGTTGCGAATGTTGCAGGATGGAGCATCTTCTTGTTGTCTTCAGGGTCATAGATATCGACTGTGTTGCCTGTGCTGATCTGTGTCCAACCTTTGGTTGGGATTCGCAGGTCTGTAAAGGCTTTGGTTAAACCATACTCTTTTGCGAATTCTGCGCCATCTGGGCGATCGACGAAGGAGGCCCTCCAGCCATACTTGATCATGTCGTCGATGGATTGGTAGATTGATGCCACGACTTCGGCGACGCTGGCTTTCAGCATGCATGTTAGTCTGTAGCCTTTGATTACGGCTCGGCCTTTGGGGTCGGGTCGAGCGCCGGGTTTGCTTAGTTCGGATGGTTGGTAGCCTAGCCAGCCTGGGGTTGCATCATTGCCGTTGTTCACGCGCTTGACAAGTCCATGTGGAGAGTGTGGCTCGGTGGAAGATGTACGATGTACGGCATGTCCATTGACACGCGCAGCTCTTCGGTCAGTATTCAAGAGTATCGTGCTGCTCGTCAATAGAACGATAGCCACCATGGACCAGAAGCGGAGCCTGTTGAGAGTAAACCGTGACGGCATAGTTCGGTTGGCGGGATCAGAACAAGAGGTGTGGGCGTGATGCGTGGTACTGCACTATCACACGGAAAGCCTTGGTACGACAGCAGGATGTTTGTTGTAGCTCTGATGTGCTGATGGGGTTTGGTTCGTACTACGTGCGAATGTGACTCTTATGCTCTGGCCATGACCACGCAGCCGGCACTCATGTGCTCTTTCACACGTGTGATGCCAACAGGCGTGCAGTCTGGTCACTTATTCTCGAGCCACGAGGTGGCGAGCAATCGCTTTTCAAAGCGTGTGCTTCGATCGACTCGAAGCATGGAGAGCACTCGGTTCCTTTCTGGTCGCTCGTGAGCCAGCCTACGAGAGGGTGTGTTTGATAGCATTGGCGGTGTGCAGCTCCTGATGTTGTTGATGAAAGCCAGGAAAATTATGTGAGAGCTCTGATGACTTCTAAAGAGTATTCAGGGCATGTAGGTGGTGTGTGATGGACGACCTCGACGCAAATTTTGCTTCAAACCAGAAGCAGGTCTTCGATTCCCCCATCGCGTTCCATGACTTCTCCCATCATCAGCCCTTGCACATATGACTCTCCGATCAGCTCCCAGCCGTCGTTGCCGTCCGCTTTTCTGACCAAATAAGGTACCTGCGCACCAAACGGAACAAAGATACGATCTCCAACTTTGGCCAAAGGCGGCGTCAGACAGAGGCTCCCATCCCTCGTAATCGCAAATTGTCGCCCGTGGCAAGCTTCCACGAAGCAGTTCACATACGTGAGGACACTTGTGTAGTCCAGATCCTCGAATTTCAGGCCGTATCTTGAGATGATATTGTGAAAACGGAGGGTGAACTCACGATTGTCGACGTCAATGTAGTCCATACAGTAAGCCCAAGCATGAGCTATCACCTTCCAACGCGTATCAGTGACAAGTTTCCGATCAATGCGGCCAGCGATGAGGGTGCGCCAGAGGTCATCGTCGATCATATTATCGTCATTCCACATGTGCAACCGGTGATTATGAACCACCTCAATGGCAGCTCTGCAGTACAGCTTCTTGTAGTACCAGAAAGTCGTGGACCGGACCTCGTCACCAGGTTGGAGACCACCGAAATTGAGAACGCCTGCGCGGCTGAAATGAGAGATCTCATCATTCAGAAGAACACCTCGAATGACCATCGTGCCCTGCTGCTCGCCTGCATACACGACCGCTTCGGTACCGCCAGCTGCATTGAAAGAGTTCTCACTGGTCCATGTATCGGTAAGCAGCAGGCTCTGACATCGCTCATCACGGTCAATCGCCCATGATGGCATCGTGCGCCGGTCTCTGCTGTGTCCTACCCCAGCTGCTGACAGCAGCTGGAGAGCAGAAGTACCGCGAGTCGTCAATAGAAATCGGGATACGCCCGTGAAGATCTCCTCTGGCGCCCTGCCGTAATCCGGTTGAAGTACCTCGACGTCTGCGCAGTCAGATATGCCCAGTAGAGCAAATATCTGGTCGCTGGAGTTACTCGCTCGAAACTTGCTGGTGCAGAGAAGGACAGTTTCGAGTGGTAGAGGCCGCTTTTCGCTCATCCGATTGTATTGCCAGAGCGCAAACATGGTCGTGATATCCTCGAACGTACTCGAGTCTTGGAACCGTTGTTTGCCTGCACTGGAGGACACGCTAAGAAGGTCTCGGCATTGCGGATCGACCATTTGCACAACGGTGGTGACAAAGCTCGGCCAGTCGAAGTAGTAACCGCCATAGTAGAGCTGAACGTTCTGACCAACGGCCACTTCCTGAACGACCCAGACGCGTGTGAAGTATTCGCTCAGGAATAGATTGACCACTGCGTGCCATCTGCGGGACTCTTTCTGGCCTATTGCAAGTTTTCGAAGCTCCCGTGGGTGCCCAGTAGTTATCATCCCGTTCGCCAAGGCCTGCATGAGGGTCGGGACTGCTGCTCTCGCGTACCAGTCGAGGATCGGATAAAGCACGACTCGGGTGGCATTGCGGTAGATGTCTCGCATCATGCGGATCTGGGAGGCTTTTTCGTCAAAGTCTCGCTGGTTAATACAGATGGCATCTATCCATATCGTCTTCCTGTCCCAGCTCGTGCGACAGTTCAGCAGCACTTGTAAAGCCGATTTCGTCACTGCCATGGTACGCCCATCTACCAGTATCTCTTCAGTCAAAGCAGGATCGCCCCATCGATAAGAGACAGCGTCGTATTCCAATGCAGGCGATGGATGTACATGAAGCAGAGAAGCATGAATGGTGCCGCCGATAAGCAATCTTCGGGGCTCAATTTGGAGCAATCGAATCTCTCCAGGTCGTAGTGGCCAATATCTGTACTGAGTGGACGCACGATTTCCTCTGTTCGCTCGTTCCAGTCGTGAGAGCCACTGATCCAAGCGTCGTGGCAGCCAATAGTACAGTACAGCCATCACAAAGCTGGACCAGTGCAGTGATTCAGCCAATACCCGCGAAAACAGGACTACCGGCCACAACAAGAATTGGCTGCCACTCGATATCCATGCAATGTTTTGATCACGTATCCACAAGGCAAGCCATATGCACAGGACAGGAAGTAGCATCCATTGCACGATTCCGAGTGAAAAGCTGAGTGGACCAGCTGAGCGAGTGACTCCCAAAAGAATGAGGGCACTGACGATTGTGCCGTCTCGATGCAGGAGCCAGAGATAGCTTGTGTTGTTCAGAAGACCATCATTTCGAAGGTAGCTTGCCTTGATAGAGCACGCCTGTACACCTTGCAGTATTACACGAAGCGTTGCAAGCCGGTAGTGCTCCGGCCCGAGAACAACATATGCCCAGAAGGCCGTAGCGGAGATGCTGCACCAAGTGACGAGAGCTAAGTTTGACGGAGACCATTCTCTGCATATCGGGAGCGTATGTCCAAAATGGTCCAATACCATGAAAGCGACCGTGATCCAGCTATGTAGGAAGCGATCGATTATCAGAGCGACAGCAAGCGTCCAGATTATCCAGAGGATGTGAAAAGTGCGTCCCTGGAACAACCGCCTTCCCTGCTGGGTGAAAGCCATGTTGATGGCGCTGGATATATGGCATTGTCGTTCGTGTGAATGTTCCGTGTCGCCCTAAAGACGAGTCTGAAGGCACTCGAGTGCACAAGTTCAGCTGAAGCCTCGTGTCAAGGGCTGCGCCACAGCGCCGATTGAGCGCCACGGCATGAATCGGAGCCAATGAAGTGTTGAACCGAAAGCCTTCTTAAGTCGCACGCATTCGGAATTGTAGCTGGCGGCGCAGGCTCTTCATCGATATGGCATGCAGATGTGATTGTGCTTCCGAAGGAGAGTGATGTCTGATGGTCCTCGTCCTGGCTCTTGTGATTTTCCTCGTGTACTGCACGGCCATTGACTATGCCCCGATACCTGCAGACTCCTTTTCAGGCCATGTGTATGCTCTCGTCAGATGAGCAAAGTTCGATTTGAGCCTATGGCGTCGCCTGAGGAGGCTTCTCAGCGGTGTTGATCGGTGGAAGACGCGACGCCTATGAAGTCAGTCACCGACGCGGCCGTCACCTACCGGATCGTGATTTCCAGTCGACCATAGTACAAATGATCGTCGGGAAGCTACTACGTCCATACCGTGAGCGCAGTCGGACCATGCATGACGTCCCGGACGTGATGTCCTGGTCGAAGTTGTGGAGGATAGACAGCTCCTCACGCGACGCGTACGTGACAGAACGCCAAGAAATTTCATTGCCGACTTCACCTGTCCAGCTTCTGTTCTCACAAGCATCAACAGTCATCATCACGAGGAGATGAATCTCTTGTGTGAACACAATACTAGGTGCGAGGGTCCTGGCTTGATAGAGCTCAGAGATTGTAGCTCCTTGAGCGAACTCAGGCTCACCACTCGATTTGCCCGCCGCGAGCACACGCTGCGAGACGCCTGGTCTCAACGGTCGAAGACAACGGCAGCACTGGCGAAGCAGTCCGGGCGCTATTGGGTCGTGGTCGCAGTGAGAAATGAAGCCTCTCGGCGGTCGATTTGCGAGAAATCCACGCTCAATCGACAGTTCTTGCGAGCTGCAGAGACGACCTGCTTAAGGTTCAGATGCAGCACTCAACGCCGCGCACGCCCTGCAGACGAGACTCAATGCCCGGAGGCTTCGTCCCTCCAACAGCAGTGCCAAAACCTTCATCCATGAGGTTTCGGCATGGCCGCTTGTCAAGATGGGATACTCGCCAGAACAACTGAGATGCAGTAGACACTCGTATGCTCATACTCATTAGTCGCAGCCCGAATCTTGAACACTTGAATCTATCTGGTGAACAACCAGTGTTGCTCCAAGAAAGTCTGTCGCGCGCCGAAGCGCCCTGGCCCGCTTTGGGCGCTCTTCGAGTCCATTCCATCGAACAGGTCACCGTTTGCTTTCCCGCGAGGCTTGGCACTGACACAGAGTCCCTTCTATTCTCGAGCTCTCGAACGGCATCTCACAGAAACAACAACACTCGCATTTCACAGAATTCGTTCTCAACACTTGGGACACAAGATGTTCGGACCAGGTATGTCTGCACATTTCATTCATCCCTTCACAACTGTCTTTCTCGAGCGGCGGCGGCGGCGGCGGCGCGGCGGAAGCGACCTCTCATGGAAGTCGCCTTGTAAGGGCATATTGGTCGGTGTATGTCTCGAGTGAAGTCTGACGCGGACAAGTTCATTGGATGGACGAAGAGGCGATCGCCGAAAGTGCGATGCGAGCTCAACTTGCTGGCATGAGCAACCCTCTTTACCCAATTGCGCGCACACCACAGACGCAATTTCCCTTTGTGTTCGAGCGCCCAGCTCCGCCTCAACATCTCATCGGGCCAGGTCACTGGACGTTCCCCACGCCCGAGGCCCACCTCGCGGCTGTCCGCTTCGGCAACGCAAATGGTTTCGGCACTGCTGGGCTATCTCAGCTCAGCGCCAACCACACCTGGCACATGCGTGAGATTTACAATGGTCCGCTCGAACCGGGGAGCAACCGCCTTGTGCAAGATCCAACAGCGGGCATCGGACTTGCCAGGGAGCCCGCTACTCAACCAGTCCCTCGCGCTGAACCCAACGTCGAGAGCACGACGCCGAAGCGGGCTGCCACATCCAACATCGATAGCACGAAGCCGAAGCGATTCGTCAAATCCAACATCAAGAGCACGACGCGCCAACTCATTGTCAAACTTCCGATCAAGAGCTGGAAGCCGAAGCGGGCTACCAAGTTCGACATCAAGAGCACGAAGTCGAAGCGTGCGGGTCAACTCAACACCAACAGCAAGCACGTGAAGCGAGCTCGCGTCTTGAGCAAGCTTAAGGCTTCCTACTCTCAACCCAGCCCTGTCCGCGCCCGAACGAAGCGTCCCTCCCGACTTCGCCAAGTGCATGGCCCGGACGACGTGGACACTGACTCCGATGCCGATGCTCACAGTCACGCTGACTCCGCGCACGAGTCAGAGGAGGCGGTCATCACCGGCAGTGTCGGTACTGCCGATGATCCATCTGCGGACAGCTCGTCCGAGACCACGCACCCATCTCCTCGCTCTCAAACACCCGGCCCAGACAACCCGGAGGCTGATCTCGGCGCCGGCGTCGACCCTCGTAGTGGTCTCGCACATGAGCCAACCAACAACGACCTCATGGATCAGAGCATCGTCGCCCATGACCTCGAAGGCAGGGAAATCAAGAAGAAATACCACACTCAGAAGTTCGAGAACATATGGAACAAGGTCACTAGCAAGATCACGCTCGACCGTGCACCTGCCGTGGTTGGCGTGCCAGAGCCCCACAAGCTCTGGTACTATGATGGCTTACGCTGGGTTATCTGGCCGCGCGGTCAAGAGAGAGCCTGGGACGATGAGAAGTGGATCGACAGCCTGAACAAGTACCGCGACCAGTCCGCTCGCCGCGATGGCTGGATGAAGAAGCGTGATGCGCCAATCTTCCAGTACACGACCGAGCATCTCGACTGGGTCTGGGAGTTTGTGAAGGAAGCTGAGGGCAAGATGCCTAAGCAGTCTCCTCGACGCATTGCTGAGCTCTTCAACGAGAAGTTTGGCTTGGTTGGTCTGGAGTCTGCGAGAAGTGACGAGCGCATGAGGAGGCTGATGTGGAAGATGTGCGAGGATTACAAGGAGAACGGCGGAGAGAGCAGGAAGCTGAGGGCGTATGAGGATGGTCCACACAAGAAGAGCAAGGCCAAGGGTAAGGGCAAGGGTAAAGGCAAAAAGAAGACTACCACCGAGGTCGAGATGGAGGATGTCGACACGGCGGATGAGCAAGAGCAGTCCACGCTGGAAGACGATGCTGTCGCCGGGCTGATGGGATTGGGACGTGGTGGCGGCGACGCGGATGATGTGTCGGAGTAGATGCTTTGCTGTTGCTGTTGGCTTGAGAAAGGTGCTTGAAGATGCTATGCTGTTGCTGTTGGCTTGGCAAAGGTGCTTGGAGACGCTGTCGCCGGACTGACGAGACGAAAAAGCATTGGTGGCAACGAAGGTCATGATGTGTACGAGTTGACGAAAGCGTTGGTGCTGTGCGAATGCTGCTGCTCTTAGCTTGGAAAAGGGCGCTCGATGATTGGCTACCTTTACGACTGTTTTGTTCGTATAAGTTGATCTGCGTTTGAGTTGCTGCTGTAGACTCCGTAGAGAAAAGTCAATAATTGCATTTGATCGAGACTACTTTTGAGACCATAACAGATGTGCGAAGATGACTGAACTTTTTGCAGGACTTCCGTACTACGGAGGTACGTGTTGTGTTCCATTCCATGATTACATACGGATAAGTCAGCTGCCAAGACATGCGAAGTCGGACGAAAACGACAGATCTCGGATACGATGATATACGATCGGTACGAATAGATATGCATAGACGATCTACTGTGATCCAAGTTGGCCGTTCGCTCATGCATTCACAAATCCCGATCGTTCCTGGAGGATTCTAGTTCATACCCACGCACTCTGCTAACAAATGGAGTATTGAAAGTTCTACGAGATGAGGTGAAGTCAGCCGGAGACCTCGTCCGTAAGCATCCCGGCGCGCTTGTACCTGGCCGAAGTGATGTCAGATTGGTGAAGAGGTTGTCGGAACCGGGGGTTTGATGCGGCCGAGTCCTTCGTAATGCAAGATTTCTGACAGGGATGGGGAGGAAACGGCGTTCACAGATTCGGTACATAATAAGCAACAACGTACGAGGTTTTTGGACCTCGTGAGTTTTGCAGAGTCTTCATACTGATCCGATCCTACTGATCCGAATCATTACCGCTTGTCGTGTGGTCAAGAACGAGTCGCGGCCAAGGAGTGTCAAGGGAAAGTCAATTGATGAGCAGGACCCTGAAAGTCTCATCAATAAATCGTTTGGCGCGCTGCTCAGCTACGACCAACAGAGGAAGGCAGACCGGCAATCCTCCCACCACACCACATCCTTCCGCCCTTCACCGCACTCGCTTGTTTTACCCCTCGTACCACTTTTTCTCCTGAAGAGTATCTGTACTCTCACGCCGCTCGCTTTGTACAACTCGACCGACAGCCAGCCATAGGGTGCGCCGGCAGCAAACGAGAACTAGACCGAGAAGTGGCAATTGACTGCACCTCACGCGAGCAGTTGTCATTGCCCGCCATGGCAGATGTCACAGTCACGCCGGGGGCGAGCGTGCCTCAGCACAAGACGGCCGTCATTGGCACAGCAACTTCAGCAAATCCTTCGCGTTCAGCATCAGTCGGATCGGGAGGTTCATTCAAGTCAGTTGCGTCCGGGACAACGCCTGCTAGTAGTGCTGCTGCCACGTTTGCCGGCGAACAGGAGGAGGAGTGGAAGATGCCTACAGATGGGCCATTGAAGACCCCGATCCCTCGACCAGCCGCTTCGACCAAACCTACACCACTTCCGAAACTCACTGCCGAGCAGGAGACCAAGTACGCCGCTGTACTTGCACAGGTCTCCCAATGGACCACGATCCCAACCTCCAACGCCAAGGGTGCGCCCTCAGCGCCTCTGGAAGATCGAGAACGCATGTTCTTGACGCGAGAGTGCCTTCTGAGATACCTGCGTGCAACAAAATGGGTCACAGCAGACGCATTGAAGAGATTGCAAGGCACATTGAGCTGGCGAAGAGAATACGGAGCGGACACTTTCACACACGACTACATCAGTCCTGAGAATGAAACGGGAAAGCAAATACAACTTGGCTTTGACAAGGAGCAGCGTCCGTGTCTCTACCTGAACCCAGGCAGGCAGAACACGAAGATGTCGGATCGTCAAATCCACCATCTATGTTATATGCTCGACCGGACACTTGAGATGATGCCAGCTGGGCAGGAAAGCAACTGCCTCATCATCAACTTCAAAAACGCCAAGAGCGGCGCGATCCCCACTATGGGTCAGGCAAGAGCTGTCCTGGACATTCTACAGAATCACAACCCGGAGCGCCTGGGACGAGCGCTCATTACTGACACACCCTGGTATGTCAATGCCTTCTTCAAGGTCATCTCGCCCTTCATCGATCCTGTGACCCGAGAGAAGATGAAGTTCAACGAGGACATGTCGAACTACATACCCAAGGAGCAGCTCTGGAACGAATTCGGTGGAGACGTCCCTTTCGACTACGACCACTCCATTTACTGGCCTGCATTCGAAGCGGAGTTCACCAAGAAGCGTGATGCCTACAAGAAGCGATGGGAGCTTGGTGGGAAGAGAATTGGTGAATTCGAGGATTACCTACGAGGCGGCAATCATCCTTCCCTGAAGCACACTTTGGAAGCGAAAGAAAACGAGAAGCCGGCTGCTGCTGCTCAAGCGAGCTCTGCTGAGGCGGATACTGCGGCTGCTGGTGTTGCGAAATTGTCTGTCTAAGCTTGTTCACGAACCTGGAGAATCCTGTGCGATGGGAAGAGCACCTATGAAATGCATTTGTATGGGCGTATTTGCGAGCATCGTGTTGTGCTTGGCTGGGTTGTGAATTGAACATAGATGCAGAAGAGCATACAATTGGGCAAGCAGAGAACCAGGCTCGGTATGTTTGAGAACATTGTACAGGCCGCGCAGTGCGAGCGAGCGAGCATGAATCCTAGAACATTTGTATCATTCTCCTATGTGGGAGCAGATTCTTTGATTAGTGGTGAGTGAAATGCTGTTGGTTGTGAGAAGGCTGATTCAGATATTCTAGACACGGTGGCGCTGACTTCGAGGGTACGTCTCCTAGCGCAATTCGGTCCTTCGAGTCGGGCTCTGAGATAGACCCCATGATATCAAGAGTCTGAGAAGGATCCGTAGTGTTCCACAGGCAACACGCACGCCACTATTGCCTGCAAGAGACGTTCAGCACAGGAAGAGGGACAAGTTGGTCCATGGCCTCAGGCAAGATCGGGCTTGGCATTCACCTATAGATCCACTCCTTTTTCTATGGTTTCTTCCCTAATGAGCACACACCTTGAATCTCATGGACTGGACCTCCGAGGCAGGATATAGGGTTGCGCTTCTACAGCTACTGTCTCAATCCATCTGGAAAGACGGGCGTCGATCAGGTCTTGACCTCTCATTTGGCGAAGATTCGCATCGACTTCTCCATCAGGCAACCAGGCGCTAATTCGGGCGCCAGTCGCGGCTTCCTGGACTTCACCGATCAAGTTCTCTTCGTCTATCGTCCTCCAGTACATGGAAGATCCTAGCCGAAACTCTCGTGCAGCACAAAGGGCTTATCACGTGGAACTCCGTGTTCACTTACATCTGCGACATTCACTCAGCAAACGTGACTGAGTCGTCGCAACACATCTACAAATACATGCATCTCGCAAAGCGGCGCGACCAAGACACTTTCGTGAACCTTGCCTCAACTTCCTGCACACCGACTGCTCACCTTTCTACCAGCGAACAGCTGCCGCCAGTGTCCTGCACGCGAACATACCGACTACAATGTCGTCCTCTCAACAGAAGACGACCAGCGTAGATGACGCACCTCCTGCACTCCTCGCGTTGCCGGCCGAAATGAAACTGCAAGTTCTATCCCACCTGCCAGGCAGACAGATTCAAGCTTGTCGCCGAGTTTGTCGGGAGTTCACAGAGCTCATCAACTCGAGGGAAAATCAGAAAGCGATCATCGATCCCATTCGCGCTCGTGCAGCTAAACGTCGCTGGCCTCTTCTTAATGTAATTACCTCGCCCTACAAGAAGAGCTTGTTCACCTCCCTCTTCACGTGGATATCGTGCCGCGGCATTTGGCCAGACATCGAACGCAATCGATGGATCATCCGATCTGCTGCAAGGCAATGGTCAATACGCATCTCAGACGAGATCAAGGCGATGCTGCACACGATGTTCCGCACCAATACTGCGTACCCTGTCGTCTTGCGGTGCGCAGATCGACTGCTGGAGATTATCGCGGAGGCGTTGGTGCAGGCTTACATCGATGTTCACTTTCCGGACCTTTTTGTTGGTACCGAGAACACTGCGACACGGATGTGTGATGTGAGTACCAAGCGAAAGTTCTTCAGTGTAATCGACAGTCGCATCCAGCAAGTCGATATACAATATCTGGCTACCCATCTCGGCTTGCCCCTAAGCAGAGCCCAGCTGGGCAGATGGTACGACCGTATTATCGCGCGACGAGCGCCGGTCGCCTACAAAAACAGCACTGCCCTTCTGAACATTCCCCGCGGACCTTCACCACAGCTGACTGTTCCGCAACTCCTCCTGACAGGGTTCAGTTACTGGTATCAAGAACATGACTTCGCAACTTCTATCGGAGACCCTCGCCCAGTTGCAGTTGAGACCCACGGGCGATGTACGGCGAAAGACTTGAGAGAATTTCTCGGCTGCCGTATACCGGTCGTTGAACCATACGCGGCATGGTATGTACGGTGGCAGTGGGCTTACGATCTAGTCTGCGAAGCGATCGGTGGAAAGGCTCTGACGGAAATTCAGAAGGCTGCGCTGCTTGAGGAGCTTCATGTCTTTTGAGGACGAAGCTGAGGAGTGGAAAGGCTACATGGGACGGGAATCAGTGCTAGCTACAGAGCTTGCGGTGCTTGTTCCTTGTTAACTCGTCTCAGGATTCCTGAACATCTGAAGCGTAACCGCTGATCGCACTGCAGTATAATACCATATCGTGGTACTGGTGGCATCGCTTTGGCACGATCAGGCTTTTCTTTTGGTCTACGAGAGAAGGCACCACGAGCCGGGGTCATTGGCTCATTGTTCTTCGCAAAGACCCGAAAAGCCGATTGGACAGGACTTGTCAACAACGGCTTTGTATTCCTGAAAATGGTATTGTTCAAGTCTCACCAAGTGCCCTGTGTTCAGTCGCGAAGATAAATATTCCACGTAATGATACGATCGCGCGTGTCCACCTCGATTCAGATACTACAAATTGCCAGTTTCCAAAACCTGTCTCCACAAGCTCACTCGATACAGACCTTCTGCCTACCGAAAGCTCGAACGAGCCTGAGAGGAAGAGCTGCTGGACAGCTACACGAACGGCTGAAATCAAAATGTCGACCAATCCGAACACCACCACCCGTGCCGCGAGCACACCATCAGCCACAATTCTCGACCTCCCGGCCGAAGTGAAGTTGATGGTTTTATCCCACCTTCCAGCAAACCAGGTACAAGAGTGCCGTCGAGTCTGCAGCGACTTCAAGGAGCTAATCGATTCGCATGACAACCAGACGGCAATTCGAAAACCTATACTTGACCGCGGCGCAACAGAACAGGAGTCTTTCGTTGACTTCTTTCTTGTAACCGATTGCGAGGAGAGTCTACTCTCGTACCTATTCCATTGGATCGCCAGGAGAGGAATCTGGCGGAGCAGAGAACGAAATGCTCACATTGCTCATTCAGCTGCGAAGCAGTGGGCACTACACGTTTCGTCCACGTTCCGGAACACATTCGCTGCTGACCCTATGCACTTTGGAGCGCAAATGGTCTATAACTTCCTTGGACGTATCGCATATGCTCTGAGTCAAGCGTACATCGACACTCACTTTCCGGATTTCTTTGAAGCGGAGGATACTGATGGCCTCGAGACCCATGACATGTGCGATGTGAGTACCCTGGAAAAATTCTATGAGGTCATTGATGGCAGTCTTTACCAGGCTGACCTCAATCACCTGATCAATGAGCTTGATTTACCGCTGAGTAGAGCTCAACTAGGGCAATGGTACGGAGAAATCGTCGCGAAGCAAGAACCCCGCGTCTCCTCCTCCTCCTCCCTCTCCGATCACGACGACGACACCACCACCCCACCCCTCATCTCCATCCCCCTCGGCCCCTCCCCACTTCTAGCCATCCCACCCTACGTCCTCACAGATTTCGAATACTGGTACCAACTCAACGAAGAGGATCTCGAATTCGACAACAGCGACACTTACTCCGACTGCGCCTCTGACGTCTTTCCGCGAGAGACTCATCGAATCCCAGGCCGATGTACGGCAAAGCAATTGAGCAGAGTCTTGGGAGGATGGCCTTGTGAGGAGCTTTACCCGCATNGGACGTGGTGTGTGAAATCGAAATGGGCGGATGAGTTGATTGGGAAGGCGCTTGGTGGGGAGGAGTTGACGGAGATGCAGAGGGCGGCGGTGATTGAGGAGTTGTATGTTTTTTGAGGAACTAGATGGGTTGGTTTGATTGGGCTGAGGATATGGGGAGGTCGTAGAGGAAAAATTTGTGTTATGCGGTCATTAGGTTGAGAAAGGGTAAGAAATGTAATTGTTGTTGATCTTTTATTTTATCCCTATAGGAATCTTAGGAAGTGTTTCTCTACGCCTGCCGAACGGGCGCAAGAATGTCGACTGCGGCTAATGGTTTAAATCCTTCGAGAGAGACCTTCCGATCTTGCTTCCGGCGTTCCTTCGAGAATCGTTCAGGAGCTAATGCTTAGAGCTTCCCTCTTCCGCCTAGTGCGAGCCTCATGCTTGATGACTTATACGTTTACGTGGACGTATTGATGGTTTGGTGGAGGAATTAGAGGCTGCTCGGAACACATTTTCTTTCTAGTAGTATTGATCTGTGGGCGAATTACTTGACACGAGAGCTACTGTGGGCCATCGATCTTGTGTTTCTTGGACCTTCTTACTAGCGTCAAAGAGACACATTACTAGGCCACTACCTGATGAAAAGCATTGATTATGCTTGTTCAAACGTCTGAGCCCTTACATTTAGTACGCGACACAGCGTTCTCTTTTGCTTCATGCACTGAGATCCCCGTCATTCTTTCTAGAACACGCACAGATCTTCCAGCACAGCGACCTTCTGACATGGCGCTAGGACTCGTCCCTTTTTTGCGCTCAGAAGAAGGTCGAACGCCCATTTGGAGCGCACACAATATGCTCCATCCATTCCCAGATCTGGAATGTTCTCGCCTAGAACCTCTCCCAATTCCTTGTACTCGAAGATAAATTCCCTTGGCACCCTGTAGTTCTGACTGTTGATGATTTGGAGCCGAGTGAGGACGAAGTCCGGAATCTGAAGGCATGGATCACCGAGTCGTGGTACGTGGAGAAGCCCGTGGTTACCAGTCTTATCCTTAGCCGATGGTGGGTACGAGGGAATGCGAGGCTCCTTGCGGTCCTTGATGTCGATGTACCACTGACGGAATTCCTCGCGGTCAAGAGGCAGTCCATAATATTCGGCTTCGTCTATCAAGCTGGTGTCGTGCTCAGTGTTGTCAAAGATCGCGAGGAATTTCTCGGGGGTACTGACATCTTGGAACTGGTAGTCCTCACCATTATGTCTACCGGTGAAGAGTTCCGGACAATGGGTGTCGATGTATGCTTGCACAATGCCCTCTACGACACCGTCCAACTTCTCAAATAGTGCGAAAGGATAGTCCGCGTCGGCCTCGAGGTCGAGATAGCTTACTAATGCTCTGATCGTGGGCGACCAATTTGCACACCACTGACGAGTCGCCTGGATCAAGAAGTAGCGCGTGTGAGCAGGATAACACCAAATTCCCCTCCTTGACAGATGGAAGAACAAGAATCTCAGCAGGCTTGGCTCTTCGACAGAGCCAACGAAGTAGTGAGCGTCTTCAAGACCATCATATCGTCCTCGTACGGCCTTGAGGAGCGAGTTCTGTTGGACATCGACCACGTTACGGAAGTCCTTTGACACACCACGGCAACGCTGGATGTCTTTAGCTGGAAGTGAAGAGAGGATTTCGAGCCTTAGCTCTGCTGGTAGGGTTTGGATCGTTGTCGTCGCATTTGGCGACGGAATAGCAGCGTGCTGCTCACTGCTGTGGCCAGACTTACCGCACGTCTGGCAGACTTGACCTTTCATCTGCTGCTTAATTCTGTCGGCGCGTAGCATTGATTCGATGTTTGCAATGTATTTCATTTCGATTGTTGAGGTCTCTTGCAATGCTGATCTTTTGAGGGCTTTTCGAAAGGAACTATGTCGATTGTGTGCTGAGTTTATCTTGAAGGGAGATGTGATTTTCTGGTTTCGGGGTCGGCAACTGCCGTTGACAAATCTTATACTGGACATTGATACGAGTAGCACCATTGGCATGAAAAATATAACCATAATGTGATGCTCACACGTCAGAGGATAATGGCATAGTGGAGCAGGTGTATGACAAAGGAGTTAAAGGTGTATAAAGAAGCAGTGTAAGCATAAAGATAGAGGCATGATTGGTTGAAGTAGCTCAGGAAAAAGAAGACGCGGGGATGGACGCTGCCTGCATCCATGCAATGGAAAGCGTGGAACACAGACAGGACTCGCGCAGAGTGGTAGTAGCAGTGTGTCATCCGATGCTCAAATGCTTGCATGCTTTCTACCAGATTGCTGTTATAGCACGTCGATCATCCTGAACATCGGCAGCAAGTGTGCCAAATGCTGGATAGGATGATTGATGGGTTCACAGTCAGCAACCGGTGCTAACCTGTCTCAACATGAAGCAATTTAATGGGACATATCATGATGCTTTCTGTGTACGCTCACAACAAGCCTTACATCGCTTTTTCAAAACACGTAGAGCTCCTCTAGTATGGCAGCCCGCTCCCAAGCTGTCAAGGTTTTCCCTTTTTTGGCCTTGAAGAGAGTCATGGCGGCCCACGTGCTTCGAATACAATAGGCTCCTCCCAAATCAAGTTCTGGAACAGTCACTCCGAGTATATCGCTCAGTTCGGTGCTCTTCAGCCAACCATAGCGAATACAAGTGAATCCGTCCAAGTCCCACTCGAGAACTTCAGGACATTGTGGCCAATGGCGGACGGTAGTAATGACGAGCTTCGGGATTTCGAGGCATGCGTCACCAGACTGTGGGATGTGGAGGAGACCGTTGCGGCCAATGCTTTTGCTTGCTGACGGAGGTTGAGAAGGGACCTTCGGCTCTTTGCGAGCCTTGATGTCGAGGTACCACTGACGGATCTGTTCACGACTCAGTGACGTTAGACCCCATTGTTCGGCCTCAGCTCTCCAATCGTGGCAAGCCTCTGTGCTGTCCACGATTGCAAGAAATCGGTCGATCGTGGTAACATCGCACATTATCGGTGTCCAACCGTCGGGGGTTGTGGTGAGATACGGCAAGTTAGTGTCGATGTAAGCCTGAACCAACGCCGCCCCGACAGAATTGAGCCACGCGAAGAGATGCAGAGGCGCATCGTAGTGCATGCCATTCATGGTTACGTGCTCACCGTGGACCAGAGGCCGAATTGCGGGGGAGGCGCTCGCTGCAAAGAAAGCAACGGCAATCTCTATGTTTCGCAACGTGTGTTCGGTAGATCTCCAGACTCCACGCCTAGCCAGGTAAGTGAAGAGAAATTTGAGAAAGCTGGGTTCTTCGGGAGTGCCGGTGAGATATTCAGCGTCCGCCAAGCCATCATACCGTTCTTGAACAGTGCGCAAGAGTGCTGCATCGTTCGTTGGAGTATCTATCAGCTCACGAAACCCTTTTGAAACAGCTCGGCAGCCTTGGATTTCTCTCGCGGGCAAGTTCGCAAGGACATTGAGCATCAACTCAGGTGGCAGTGTCTGAATCGTTGTTATTGCGTTCGGGTTTGGAATTGCGGCGTGGTTGTCTTCTATATGTCCCGCCTGGCCGCAAGTCTGGCAGATACTGGGTTGGCCACCTGGGTTCTTAGAGAATGGAAGTACGTCCCAGATGTTCCGGGGTACGAAGTCCATGGTAAGAACTGTGGTTTTAGGGGAGATTCAGTGTGGTTCAGCTGTCCAGCAGCTTTTATGGCGAATGGTTTGTGGTGCGAGACGCGTAGTTGTAGGTACTGTCGAGAGTCGTCTGCTGCTAAAGGTTTGGGTTAGCAAGAGATGTACACATGCAAGGCGAATGGTTGAGGCTTTTGTATATGCCAACTTTACATTGTGATAGTATCACGGACTCGAGCAAAGATTTTGACACAATATCGTAGTGTTGGTTGATCGAACTGCCCTCGATACTCCATTGTAAGAGGGCAACGCAAGCACAAAGAAATCGTCTAAACACAAAGGGATTGTTGCGTTACAGGTTCGGCAGCACCAATACACGTTGATGGCACGACGAGCATGACAGAGAAGCCCAAACGGGCCAACTGGCAGGATATCGTTTACACCAATCAAGGAAAGAAAGTCTTACACGCAGTGGCAGAAAATGGCTGCACTCGAGGTCTGACTTTATCCATTTCTCAATTCAAAGGTTGACCTGAATTAGTAGAGGACTCATAAGAACTTGATCTTACTCGTGGATCTAGACAAAGGGATGATCACCGAAAGCTGGATTCGAGACTGAATTGTCCTGTGCACGTGGCTTTCATTTTGAAGGTTTCGTCGTGGTCCTTCACTAGCGACAAAGTCATTCACTCTGCGCAAGGCCCGCTCAAACACATAGGGTATCTCCCTCACACTTCTCAATCTCACAGTCAGACACCCTTCTCCGCCTTAGATCAGACCTCAACGTCGACTTTCACCGTCACACACACGTGCTTGCTTGATTCGCGAGCTCTAAATCACAATTCAAGCATGGCGAGCCAAAACACTACCCACCCCACTCCGGTTAGCTTCCTCGATCTCCCGCTAGAGATGAAAACCCAAGTGCTATCAAATCTTACAGCCAGGGAAGTGCAGGCTGCGCGCGGAATTTGTACTGAGATCAGAGATGTCATCGATGCAACGGGCAGTCGAGTCTTGATCCACAATCCCATGCGTGCTCGAGCTGAGGCGAAGATCGACGAGGAACTGCGAGCACTGATGGGGTATCCATGCCCGTTGAGCCTACGAGATTATGTCTTCTCCTTCCAGAAGAGACGTGGCATTTGGAAGCACCCTTTGAAAACCGGCTTCCCCGTCAAAGTTGCCAGTATTCAGTGGGCCAAATTGAAGATGGGTGAGGCTGAGACGGCAGTCGACCAGCAGACATTCGACAGGATCGTCAATTCGCTGTTCTTGATTGCGTGTCTATTCGCTCATGCGCACGACGAAACGTACTACCCTGAGTTGAAAGCGCTCAGAGCTAACTCCAACACAGGCTTTGCTGGGCTAAGAGCACTACTGATGCCCAACGTCAGCAACATCGACGAATTCTATTCCAGCATCGACAACTTGCCTTTCGGCTTCACGCTGAAGGACCTCGCCAAGTTCGGCTTGCCGCTCGATCGACAGGAGCTAGGGGCATCCTACACGGAAATCATTGAGAAGCGCGTCTTCGGTCCAACCACTGCGATTCCTTGCGCACCCTCCCCGCATCTTGCCATTCCTCGCTATGCGCTCACAAAGATGGTGGTTTTCGATGAGCGCCTAGGCGACATCATCACAGGAAATCCATTGCCGTTCATTGAACCTGGAATTTGCACGGTGACGCAAATCGGAGCGATTCTCAACGTCAACAGCATTCCCGAGCCCGGAAATGTCTTTGGGTTCTGTCTGAGAACGCGCAAGGCACATTCGTTGTTCGTTGCGGCGTTGTATGGACGCGTGCTGGCAGAGTGGCAGAAAGTGGCCATCCTTGAGGAGTTGTACCTTTTCTGAAGGGAGGCAAGATTGGTCTCGGCCGTGTTCCGGTGTTACTAATGTCAGGGCGTGTCTCTTCGCAGGACTGCTTGAGCTTTTGTGCTGGTGTTCGTCGAAACTAGAGTGATTGAGTTGTGGACATGGCGTGGAGTTCGGAAGTGTGGATGAGGTCCAGGTGCTTGACCACCTACGCATGTACTCCCATTACTCTGATTGCTGCATGCCAATTTGAGATCAGCTGTGTGTTGTAGGCAACTCAAATCCGGGACTTCTTGTGGTCTCCGTTTCTCGACCTCGATGGTTGTATGTAGCTAGTGCATAGATAGTCGTCGCCTTACGTATGTGGTGCACAGACAGACCCGCGAAATCCAAATCTGGTTCCCTTCAGATCATACCCGAATGTTGAAGTCTCTCCTGCTCCAATCTCTTTCTCAGACTTTAGCAACCTCCACGGACTCAGCTTGAATAAATCGTGGATTGAGCCTCGCGCAGTGATGCATCGGGGCAACGATGGCGAATATCAGGACTCCAAGTCACAACCTCGGAGATTGGTTTGTATGATCAAACGCTCCCCATCCAGATCCAATCATCGAGGAACAACTTCGGACAGCATCCATCCACGCAAACCGCTTGCAAAGTAACCCTCACGCAATCTGGCCCTCGATACCCATCTGGGCCGGTAACGCCATCCGAGGTCCAGAAGCGCAGAAATTCGTCTTTGGCAGGACAGTGGTAAAACGTATCCGCATGCTTCGTCCTTCCGCCAGACCGAATCACAGTATGCGCACAGCTCATCTGTTTGGTTCGTACACTGAACGTGCACGAGACCTCATCATTCGGCAGGCGCTCATGGTATCCTCGCATTTCTTTGTCAAAGGAAAAGAACTGTCGGTCGAAAGGATCACCAGAGTATCCATCAGTTGTGCTGAAAGCGGCGTCGTAGTTCTCGTTGACCCATCGATCACCATTGGGGAAGCGCGATAGCATTGCTCCCGCAAAACCGACATCCTCGGCGATGCTCAGGTTCATCCTTGGGTTTCCAGATGTGAGATCAGTGGCTGGTATCTGGTAGAGGTAGCGTCCTACCACGTCGATGACTCCATCTCCGGATGGCGATTGACTGGCGACTTTGATAGCCCATTTTGGAGCCCCGGAGCAGCTCGCTGACCTGTCCGGAAAGCCTCCGTCCTTGCCGTCGCCACACGAAGACACTGCGGTGAAGGTGGGACTGGGTATTACGCAGAACTGGTTGCCATCCGTATAGAGACCATCCGCGACGTTCAGAAAGCTGCGAATACCTTCCTGGCAGAATTGAAGATCTTTCAGGCCAGGCTCGAGTGGATTGTAGCAGCTCAGCGTGCCAGCATCGGCGATAGTGCAGGCCATTTCGGTCATGAAAGATGCTCGGGCCCAAGCAGGTTCGACGAAGCGGACCTTTCCCTCGTAGCCAACGCTGGCCAAGACTCGACCGTCGCTGGTGAGTAGTCGTGTGCCATCAAGAGTATACCTGGAAGCCCGGGTGCGTGCTATGACATACTCAGACTCGGCATATCTGTCAGTATCAGAGTCGGCAGCGGTAGACAAATAGCCACCAGCGGCCTCGATGAGGAAACCAGTGCATTGTGGAGCGGGACCCGATGTTGACGAAGCTGATGCCGAGGTTGTAGAAGACGTGGACAGGGGTCCGCCACCATTATTGTTGACACTACATGCGTCAACGCTGGTCAAGGCAATGCTTGTGCAACTTTCTGGGAGCAAGCCCTTCCCGATCCGCAGGTAGTTGTCGGTACCCTCACAGAGCTGGAAATCAAGGACGTCAGGCCCATCATTATTTGTACAAGTGAGCTGGTTGGTATCGAGATCGAAAGAGCAAGGGTATCGCGGATCCTTACAGGTGAGGATACCGTCATTCAAGAAGCAGGACCACGGGGGCCTGATCAAAGCCTGGAGCTCTATTAATCGGTGTCTGTGAACAACGCTGTCCTCAGGATAGACAAAGCCAAGTTTGGCCCAGGCAGCAGTGCTGTCGCGAAGAATTCTCCCGTCCAGTATGTACCTTGTGGCATCGGCAATGGATGTGACAGTTTGGATGTAGATCCCGTTACCTGAGATATAGAAGGGTGTACCATTTCTCATGCCCTGGAGATAGAAACTGCCCGCGCAAGTCGTAGGGAACGCCAACGATGTGGACCAGGGAGCAAAGAATTGGTCGACGGTGGTTGAGGTACTCGTGGTTATCGAAGAGGTCGTCGTCGAAGAGGAGGAAGAAACCGATGTGATCCCGCCAGTCGTGGTCGTGGACTGCTCCGTGCTAGCAGTAGTAGTGGGTGCTGTAGTGCTGCTTGTGCTTGCAGTGCTGCTTGTGCT